TAAGTCACCTACCTTGAGGTATTTGGGGGTAGGAGAGTAAAAGGGCCTCTGGTCTTGGAGCATGAAAAACTACAAATTTGTCCAATGTTAATACCGTAGTGCTTAGTTGGGATGACTCATGTGAGACCTGGACCAGAGAAATTTGCTTTTATTCTTTTCCTGTGGATTTTGTGATTCATTTTAGCATAGGCACACCTTATGTGAGGTGTAGGCACACCCTTTGGAGATGCATAATTCTGCAGTCAGGATTAGTCACACTTATCTGATTCTGTGTCAGCCACTTTCTTTTCCTTGAGTTTTAATTGCTGGTTAAGGATTGTATTGATAGGACTTCTACATCAACTTCCTGCTTTTTAGTGACTAATTTTTATTTAATCACAACATTTTGTTGTGGCAAAGCAATAGTAAAAAATAAACACACAAATACTTACTGTGGATCCAACGCCTAATCCAGTGGAATTTCTCCTGAACAAGGTTCATGGAATAACATGACTTTCCAGGAGTTAATACCTACACACCTTTAACCTCTTATTTGTTTTAAGTGGCTTACACATAAAGAATTATTGTGAACTATGCCCAGCCTATTTAGAATCAATTTTTTTTAAAAAGTAAGGTTTTGTTTTGCTTTTAAAAAATATTAATGTAACCCATTACAATGCAATATTAAGCAGAACATTTTACCAAATAATGAATTGTTAAATTATGGAAAATTATAGAAATATGTCACTTTTTCTTTCAAGCAAAATTCTGAGGATTTCAATAGAGTTCAGTTTCACTAACTGGAAATAGGAAACACAGAATATGTTAGTTTTTGCAAAATCAGACTTATACATGATAAACAATCAATATGTAATTTACAGAGAAATGGCAGTTACAATGTGCCAGTACTTATTAACCATTTTAAAAACTGATTGATAATCTTAGGAAATTGGAAATTTCAATTCTTTAGTAATTTCTCACCTTTGAATAATTATTTGTCAAATGCATTTTAATCTGCTTCCAGATAGATAGATAGATAGATAGATAGATAGATAGATAGATAGATAGATAGATAGATAGATAGATAGATAGATAGATTTTGAGTGAGGAAGGTTTTACAGGAATGGACATATTACAGATTTACTGTCATATTTTAATCTTTCCATTTACAGACCTTTCATGTAATAGGTAAAGCACAATTTACAATTTCTTTCTTTCTTTCTTTCTTTTTCTGGAAGTAATGAACAGCATTTGAACCAGAGCTAGTTCTTTATAAATTGATGAGAAATGGTGTTGAAAGTAATGTTTGGCCTGTTCACCAAAGTCAAGACTCCATGTTGAGCGATATTGATCCGATTTCCATCTACTTTATGAATTTGACAAGGGCCGAGTTGATACGGGAAAGGTAGCTAGTGGGCAATGAACAGCCAGGAAATCAAATTACACAAATATAAACATCCTTATTTAACTACTGTTTCAGAAAATCTAGCTACATGCCAATCTAGCCAATAAGTGATGCTTGGAGCAATTGACCAACATGAGGAGAATTTCAGATTCCCTATTTGAGAAGTACATGAGGTTCATTTTGTGACTGCTTATCATGGTCATAAAGTCTCAAATGTGCTTTTTTAAGAAGCAACTGGATTTTCCGGGTTTTTTTAAAAGACATTTCACTTCTCATCCAAAAAGCTTCTTCAGCTCTGAGGATGAGAAGCGAAACATCTTCAAAGAAAAACCAGACAGTCCAGTTGCCCGTTGAAAAAGCACTTTTGGGACGACCATGTCCTGGATAATTGAGAATCTCCATAGACATAGTCATAAAGCATTGCAAGGATTTCAGAAATATTTCACTAAAATTGCCAGCATTGATAAATAAAAATATCCACAATAAGAAACAAGTTCAAAGCACTGCACTACAAACTTTTATTCACTGCTGTTTATTGTTATTTGTTAGTCATGGATTCAAACTCTAATTCTAATAAATAAAAGGTAGTACAAATATAAATGTTTTAAATTATTCCCCCTCTTGATCATGAAAAGAAATTTTACAATCCAGACCAGTGGTGGGTTTCAAATTTTTTTACTACTGGTTCTGTGGGTGTGGCTTGGTAAGGGTGGCAGGGGAAAGTTACTGCAAAATCCCCATTTCCTCCCGATGAGCTGGGACTTGGGAGGCAGAGAATAGATGGGGGCAGGGACAGTCAGAATGTTTACTACCGGTTCTCTGAACTACTCAAAATTTCTGCTACCAGTTCTCTAGAACTGGTCAGAACCTGCTGAAACCCACCTCTGATCCAGACCAATTTTCAGGATTTCTTGAACATTTGCATAATTCTTAAATAATACAGCAGTATTCTTTATTGTTAATACTTTTGTCTTATATATAACAAATAATACTTAGCTTAGTTTAGTTTAATTTAATATATACCTATTTTGTTTTACAAATAAACCTCACTTTATACCTTAACTAGTGAATTATCCTATGAAATGCTTGTGTGCAAGTTTGAATTGGTAAGACTACCAATATAAATGCATGTCATGCACTTGTCTCTTTTACTTTTCAAAGATAGACTTCTTTCATGTGAATCATTAGCCTTGTTTGAATTTAAATTAGATAGAATGTTGAACTAAATAAATGTTAAACATTTACTTAACTCCTCAGGTTTAAAAGTTTCTCTTAGCTTTAGGGTAAAATATGTTAAGCAACTGGAAAACATTCCAAAGCCACAGTTGGCTTTCTTTCAAGAAGTTAACTGGGTTTTCAGTTATCAACTAAGGATTTTGTGATGCATATGTTCCATAAAAAGCAAATATTCTGTCATGGTTATTCAGGAATGTGGCTGTGCTGAAGCAATAAAGCTTATCACTTTTGTCAAAAGATCTTTTATAAGATAAAGGAATGGTTGCACAAATCAGTATGACTTGAACTGTTCCCCCCTCCCCCTTAAATGCTATCTTCCTTAGAAAGTAATAGAAAAATCTAAAGAGTATATTGCTTTGCAATCTTAAAACAATGTTAAATAGTAGGAAAGCAAGCCTAGATTATGAATCAATAACATAACATTGCTTGTCCTGGACTATAAGGTAATGTGCCTATAATAAATAAAATGTATACAAAAGACAGCCTTTGTATACAGAAATAGATAGCTCCTAGATGCTTTATTCAAATCTAGTGTGGGGCAAAATCCAGGACAATCCTGTTTTGATCATATGATCAGGATTAGCTTGGAGCTAAGAGGTTCATTGGGCTAAAAGGATATTCGTTTAATTCAATTAAGGCTGCTAATTCAGTGCTCTGGCAGCTTACATGTAAAAAAAATCCCAAAAACAATACATATAAAAAGATCATCATCATCATCTAGAAAGCCATTAAAAAAATCCCAGACATTTAAAAGCTATATAGGGATTCCACAACTCTCCTAGCTCAGGACTGGAAAAAAAAACCACCAAATTTTTAATGATTTTTCAGAATGTGGAGAGAAGCTATATGAATCTCATTGGTGATGCCATTCAGAGGATAGGCAGATAAGACATGCTTCCAGGATCCCAGAAAATAATATTTTAATTGACTGGGTCCAGTCTGCTTGACGCATGAGACAGACAGAAACAATAGGAGGCAAGGGAACTAAGTCTTATCCCATGAAGGATTTATAGGTGATAACCAGCACCTTTATTGTAGCTGAAGCCAACTGGTAACTCACATGAGCATAATGTTAACACCTGTTGTGGTCCGCCAGAGGCCAGCAGAGCTGGTAGCAGATTTGAACAGTGAGGAGGTTGGCGTGGAACATGGGCCAGTCCTGGAGTCTGGGGAAGGCTCTGATGAGGGCTCTGCATCGGAGGCAGAGAGGGGGCCAGGGCTGTATGCCAGTTATCACCTGCCTTCGGAGTCAGACATCAGTGAGGCAGGCAAACAACTGAGCCTGTTCCCAGTGTGCGCATGCACAGAGTTGCCAGACGAAGGGAACAGCTAAAAAAGAAGGATTGACTTGGGAGTAAGGCCACAGGTGGACGATGAATGGCCCCTCCCAGAGGGAATAAAAGAGGAACGAAAGGGGAGTGGAGTTTGCAGGAGGCCATTAGTTCGCTTAATTGGTTCGTGACTCTCCGAGACTGCTTGCCAAGTTTTGAAGATATCAGCCTGGCAGCTCTCCAAGCCAGATAAGGCCTGTGACTGTAAATTCTCCCTTGAAAGACTTTGCTGGATGTGAATGAGAAGAATTCACAGTAACTTAATAAAAAGGGGTTTTTGTCAGGACAAGGAGTCTGCTGCATGCTCTTGGGAAGCCTAGGTCAGAACAACACCCCTATCACTGTCAGCCCCATGGCATTCTAAGATTAGCTATGGTTTCTAAGCAATCTTCAAGGGCAGTCTATCTAGAGTGTAGTACTACAATCCAGTCATGAGAAGACCAAGACAGGAGTGACTATCAAAAAGAGTTGAAGACAACATTTTCATTTCACACAAGACTACTAATAAAATCAGAAGTAGTATCAATTTTCTTTCAACTAGTTTGGATTATTCTAGATTGTCCACCTTATCCTCTCTCAAAGGTAAAATGTTGGGAATGTCATCTCAATAAGAGATCTGTCCCTGTTATGTATTGTTCATTTGTCTCCCACAAACAACAGCAAAAGTTCTAGACCTGATTTGAGTTTTAATACAGTGGTTATGAAGAGGACAGAGGAGCAAATATTATTGCAAGCTCTGTGTACTAGATCTACTTGCTATCACTCAAGAACTATACAAATGTTCCAAATAGTTCAAGAATAAAGATCTTGGAACAAAGAAACTTTCAAATTTTGAGTGATTTAAAATATGAGAGAGCCATCTTCTAAATGTGACAACTTTGTGGAACTGAAAAAAACCCACAGCTTTTTATTGCATGTGTACTCCCCCCCCCATTTCTTTAAAAACAACTTCTTTTAAACCAATATTAGTAATCACCAAAGTAAGTTTGTATATTTTTGTAATTGCTTTGTTCAAAATAAAAGCAAAGAATATAAAACAAGCTATAATGTACTAGATATCAAAAAACTTTTATTGTGCATACAATAACTGTATGGTATTCATCCAGATAGCACAGTTACATCCAGGCTTTTCAGGATTAAAAACAAAGCACTAAATAAATGGGAAAGACAAAAAATACTGTGGATGTTATGTGCACAAATAAAATGAAGTATTCTCATTTTACAATACTCAAAACAATTGCAATAAACATATAATAGTAAAACTGGCATTCTAAACAAAAAGTTGAAATGTACAATGTTAGGGATAAAAATCAAAGTCTAAAAAAAAGTAAGAAATCTGAGTTCCTTCAGATTTCACATAAAATGAGATAACAAATACAGTATTTAAAGAAAATATACATAATATTCTAATATTTTATTAATTTGCAACCATATATACTCATACTTCACTTTTATTAATATAAATCAAAATATCAGTATTATGATTTAGGGTACAAAATTGGAAATATAAAAGAAAAGCTTTATTTCCTATTTATCCCCCTGAATAAAAACAAATATTTCTGAAGATTAGTTCAGTTTCTTGATGATTAGGAGAATCATACAGTAGTTAAAAATACATATTATAATAATAAAGATAAGAAAAAACATTACCCAAAAATTGGTGCATAAAATTGGCTATTTTTCATGACATAATTATCTGAGAGACCTGAAGGGAAGAACAATACACTGCTATCAACAGTCACTTCAGGTAAAATAACAGAAATTGTATAACTGAAAAACAGGAATTATGAAGCAGCTAAATATAAGAAAGATACAGTGCTAATATTCTACAGATTTCAGAGAAATAAAGTGGATTAATGGTTGGCCATCTAGACAGGAAGGCCATCTGAAGAAGGCTGATAATGCCGAGCCTCATGAATGTATGAATGAGTGAGGTTGGAATTGTATAACATAGTACAGTATTTACAATTTCCTCAATGGACAAAATCCAACACTTGGGTTCCCCTGAAATGGTTTCCTGTGGAAAAGTATACAGAGAATACTTAAAGGTTGAGTTTGGACCATGTGTTACATTAGATGAAATTGTGTAGAATAATTTATAGCCCAATGTTTATTTATATAAAAATCTGCATATAGCCTGCTTCAGACAAGCTAGGCAGTTTACAATAAATAAAAGAAATCCCCATACAAAGAAGAAATCCCATTTATACCTAACCAAAAAAAAAATATTATCAATACAACAAAAAACATAATCTTAAAAAATTAAGAAAAATCTGAAAAAGGCGGTTCAAACCACTTTTTGTTGTTGTGAAACACTGGTATACTTGCAGCAAGGTTGTGAACAAGTCACCACACTGAACCATTATTGTCTGGGTATAGATGTTATGTGACACCCACCCCCCCAGCAATTGTTTTGTTAAAGCGGTCTTGCTATGTGAAGATAACCATAGAATTTTGTAAGACTTTCAGATCATAATGGAATTAATCAAACAGGCCAAATTCTGCAAATCTTGGATAAAGTTCATAAAGGCAAGCACCGAGCTGCAAAATACTTCACAAAAGCAGGTGCAATCCACCAGCTTTCCAGTGCCTTTCCTAAGAAAGTCCTATACTCTACTAGAATGCGAATGTAATGATTTGGAATACTCTATAAATAATTAACAGAAAAATAAATTAACAGTGGAAAATGCATACAAAGTCCTGACAATACTGGCCTTGTTCATCTGTATCCTTTTCCAGGTACGGAATCAACAATTGCCAAAAGAACCTGCTTAATATAACAGCTTAATTAAATATTAATACTGGTTTACTTTGGATTAAATTTTAATCAATATTTAATCATCAATAATCAAACATCAAGTGATTTTCATAGACTACAAAAATGATTTCAGCCCAGTGGATTATTATAAATATATACCTCAAGTTCAAAGAAGGGAGACTTGTCAAATTGTGAATTAGGTCATAAATAGTACAAGTTAGAAAAGGATGGACAATTATAGCAACATTATGAACTATGGACTTCAACTCCCAGAGTTCCTGAACCAGCATGGTTCACCTCTGAGTTAAGAGTTTAAAGTGGTACAGATTTCAATGAGGATGAGGATGATGCAAACAACTCAGAGCTTTATAGTGAAAAATCTCTCCCCCATATGATAATAAAAATTCCTTAAGGGCAGGCTTCAATCTCCTTATCTGAGACCACTAGAATTCTTTTCTTAATCCCAATGACAAAAACACCATATATTTTCATTGTTCTTTTATGCTAAAACTTCAACTTGAAAGCAAAGTCTTAAACTCTACACACACACACACACACACACACAAAAAAAAAACTGTAAAATGTTGTTGCCATGATGTAACAGGAAATAATTATTTTATTCAAATAAATATACAGCAAAAACTGAGGGTAATCCCTTAGTTATCAACCACCAGAAGAACTTAAATCACTTAGGACAGTGTTTTTCAACCTTGGCCACTTGAAGATGTGTGGACTTCAACTCCCAGAATTCCCAAGTCAGCATAGCATAGCACAGCTAGCTGAGGAATTCTGGAAGTTGAAGTCCATACATCTTCAAGTGACTAAGGTTGAAAAACACTCATTTAGGATATTTCCTGTGGATACCCAATGATTTCCTCCTCAGGTTGTAACAATGATAAAACATCCTGATCCTGCTTAGGCAAATCCTTAAAACGTGGCTTTATTCCCAGGACCTGGATTAGCATGGAGTCTAACCCCTTGCAGACTCTTTTGCTTGTTTAATTGATTGCTATTCTTCTCCAGACTTCCTTTCAATTCTATATTGTATGGTTTTGATTGTTTTTCACAGTTGCAAATAGCCCAGTGTCTATGCCACCTATGCATTTAATAAATAAATAATGAATAAATAAATGAATGAATGAATAAAAGAAGTCCAAGCCCTGCAGAAAATTAAGGTATGTCAGTCTTTTCGGATGACATGTCAATACTGCCTTCATTGTCTGTTCATCGTTGCAGTGGCTGAAATGATCCCTGAAATAGGTTGGATACTCAGAACATCCAATATGCAACTGGTATTTCTGAAGAATACTTGTTTGCTCCAAACTTGAAGCAAACTTGTTTCAAATCTTTTCTTCCCTCCTCATTAAAACATTCAGTGCATGTTAAGAATGCAAAGTACTATAAATGTATTATATGAAATTTCCAAACAGATATTTAGGAAAATAACTATAAATTCTCCAGCTACAACCTTTCAATAGGATAGCATACTTTTTTTTTTTACAATAAATAAATAAATAAATATTGTTTACAATTTGAAAAGTATTGTATTAATAAATTCTACAAAATGGCTGATACATTGTACCCTGGAGTACCATATCCTATTTACATTCTTCTGTGCAAATTCCAATATGCTAGAAGTGAATTATGCCAGAATGAGTTAAAGGTTAGGTGGTATTAGCCTCTTACTTCTCAGAAGTGATTCTAAATCTAGGACTTAAAAAAAAAATCCACAAAATAAATAGTGTTGCATTTAAAATAATTCCTCTTTGTACCCAGTTAGGATACTTCAAAATAATAAATTAAAATGCAAGTTCAAGTAAAAAATGGAGGTCTAAACACATAATTAACTCACATTTACACACATTACTGTATTTACCAAAGATTTACCACAGCAAACAATAGAAATGATATTTCCCTAAAGAATGACCGAGGTAGCAGAATATATACTGTACAGTAGTAATGAAACAAGCGCAGCACATATTTCTGCCTGAGGTATCCACAGAGGTAAACTGTTGGCTAACCTGATGAAGCCAAGCTTATAATTTATTATTATCCTTCGAGCCAGAGTTCCGGGTTTCATGATATGCAGGATGTACATACTCAGCAAGTCCATGAAGAGGCCTCTGCTAATAATTTCCATGTGTTGTAGCGCTGAGCTCCAGTTGGTCAGCCAGCATCACATCCTGTATTTCCACAGAGGCAGGCACAATGTTCCTATGTGTGTCAGAGAAGGACGTGCTATGCTGCAAGTTTAGCTCTATGTATTGAGGTCAATGTAAGTATTTTGTCTTCATACTGTGTCAAACAGAAAAATGGTTGGGAGTGTTGAAATAGAGTAATCAATATGAATGGAATACCCCTAAATGAATCTCCCCTTTAAACAATCAGGATTTGTTTACCTTCTAAAAGGAGATTATTTAATCCAATGATGGTAGCTGCAAAGTCTACCTGTTCCACAAAGTCTGAAGTAATGATGTTAACTCCCATGATTCCTGGTTTCTGTAACTTCACCCAGTTCAAAATAAAAGGAAGATTTCTATGAGAAATAAAGGAAAATATATGAGACATGCCTTACGCTATAGATAATAATATATTGTCTACATATATTGTGTATTACAGTGGTGGGTTGCTCCCGGTTCGGTCCAGTTATTGCAAACCGGTAGTAGCGGTGGCGGGATGCTCTGCCTACCCACCCGGACGTCATCATGAATGATCTGTGCATGCGCAGAAGGGCTCGCACGCTCACTCCCATTGCAAAATGGTAGCGAAGGTAAGTAGAACCCACCTCTGGTGTATTATGTCATAATAGAAGAGAATATTTGTATCTCAAGGTTGAACTGGGGAGTTCTTGGTGTTCTCTGAGCTAGGTTAACTGAAAATGTTACCTAGTTGGGTAATGAAACGTCTTCAAGAAAATAATCAAGGTCAGAGAGCACCAAAGATTCCACTGTGAACTATGTCTATATGATCATCTACAATACTTCTTGGAAATAAGAACATTATTTGTATTACATATTATACTTTAGCATTTTAAAAAATATCAGCAAAAGCATGCCACGTTTGAAGCCATCACATATTATAGGTCAAGAAGGGGAAAAGAAATTAACAATTGCATTGCAACACCATCTAAATTTTCCATAAGTAGGATTTTAGTGGTACATAGTAGATAAACAATACTTATATTTCTAATGTTATGTATATGTTCAGAAAATAGCTGAACATTATAGGCAGGCTATATTGTTTATCAACATTTTTTGTGCATTATTTTTATATTGTACCTAAAATTCTAAAATTGACTTTTTAATGTTGATATGCCACCTAATATCTACATCTTCCCAACAACATTTAAGCATTCAAAATAAATACTGTGAACCTGTGATTTTTTCGCACACTATGCCAAGTATTAGTTTAAAAGTTGGTTAAATTATTTACTAATAGATTAGACTACATTATGGTTTAGGGCAGGGGTCTGCAACCTTAAACACTCAAAGAGCCATTTGGACCCATTTCCCACAAAAAAGAAAACACTGGGAGCCACAAAACCCTTCCCGTGGCTGACTATTTCTTGAGCAGCCACAAAACTGGCATATGTAATTGAATTAAACGTTCTGTTTTCTTCTGAAACTTCTTTTCTTGGATTTTTCCAGGGTTGGCCTACTGGGGGGTTGAAAAGCTCAATAAATCGTGTGCAGGAGGGTATCGCACTTTACCGGTTGTGACACATATTTTGAGTGATAGGGAGCCACAGCAGAGGGGTGAAAGAGCCACATGCGGCTCCAGAGCTGCAGGTTGCTGACCCCTGGTTTAGGAAGAGATAAAGGTGCTAGGCAAACATTTAAGCAGGTGGTGTAATTTAAGTAAGTGTTTTTCCTGCCTGCTTTTTTAGTTATTATTTTAATCCTTCCCGACAATAAAGTGAGAGATGGTAGTGCTACAACATCATGAAGACTATAAGTGAATTTTTGCTTTCAAGTGTTTGGATTTGAGAAGCAAGCCACTAGAGATACAATTGATATGTGAAGAACGACAAGCCTTTTTAAATTCACTCTTATCCAGAAACCTCTTTCAAGCAATCTAAACATTGCCTAGTTCATTATGTATCTATGTAGCTTGCATTTATAGTCATATTTTATGTCAGCTATTCACCCTAGAGTAGGAATGAGAGAATACAAGCAAAATAAATAATATTTTATTGGTTTGCCTACTTTTTGCTGACTTAATATTTCTGTATCACACGATTTGGAATCTTATCCGTAATTGTATTCTTTTTGCTCTTAAAATAAAGATACAAATAAAGATAATAATTACCAATTACATTTGATAATTAGAAGGGGAAATAATTTAGCACCATCTAGTGCCTTATAACTATATAGCAATAATTTTTCAAAAGTGGAAATTTGTAGTTATAACAATGGATCTTTAACTCTGATAGAGATGAAGATAGGTTTGTTTGAGCATTCTGTGTATTGCCACTGCTTAGACTATTTTTCTGTCTATCGAAGTTATAGTAGGTTACTTGCTATATTACTCTGACACATCTAGTACTGCAATAAGTTAAAATCAATGAGAAATTAAAGTGTTAATAGACTAGATTAAGCACTGTAATTGAAGAAAACAGAACCTTGTTACTATTAATTTGTCAATATATCTTCAGAATAAAGCTAAGGATTATTACTTATTTTGGCTTTATATATAATAATGTCACTTCAATAGTAATTTTAGTTGATTCATACATCCATTAGCATTGATCAGTGATGGCTAACCTTTTTGCCATCGCGTGCCAGGAAAGGGGGGGCGGGGGAGGGTCACGCGCGCACGTGCCCACGCGCATGCGTGCGCAACCCCCTCCCCCCTCCCCCCCGCTCCTGGCACATGATAGCCTGGTAGGCCCATTTTTCTTTCTTACCTGGTTCCAGATCCTCTCTGTGTATCTAGGAAGGGCGAAAACAGCCTTTCCCACTCCCTTGGAGGCTGAAAGGGCCCATTTCCCAACTCTCGGTGGGACAGGAAGTGACATTTTTTGCTGTCCCCAGCATCCAGAACCTCTCTAGGAGTCTGTAGGAGCCTCTAGGAGTCTGTAGGAGCCTCTCTAGGAGTCTCTGGAGGCTGGGGACAGGAAAATACGTCACTTCCTGTCCCACCGGGAGTCGGGAAATGGGCCCTTTCAAGGGGGTGGGAAAGGCTGTTTTCGCCCTTCACAGATAAATAGAGAGGATCTGGAGCCAGGTAAGAAAGAAAAACGGGCCTTCCCTACCTCCCCCAGGCCCTCCAGAGGCAGGAAACAGCCTGTTTCCCTACTTCTGGTGGGCCCAGAAGGCCCGAAAATCAGCTGGCCGGCGTGCGCATGCGCCCCAGAGCTGAGCTGGCGTGCCCACTAATATGGCTCCGCGTGCCACCTGTGGTACGCGTGCCATAGGTTAGCCATCACGGGCATAGATGTTCTGAAATACAACTCCCTCATTACATTATCAGTCATGCTGATGATCCTGATACAAATTGAATATTGGAAGGCACCAATTGCTTATGAACCAGTACTGACTAAGTCTATATATCTTGCTACATCAAAACCAAACAAACCATGTTTGTTTAAGTTACTAATAACTGTTGTTAGCTTGAACAGTGAAGCGATAGTATTTGAATACTAACAAAGTTGACATGAAACTATTTGAAATTACTTATTTTATAGAAACAATAAGAGACATAATTATTCAAACAGAGATAAAGTAGGATGTGCAAAAAGCAGAGATATGAAGTGGGCAGTGAGAGGTATTTGGAAACCATTCAGAACAAACCAAGAGGGTTTTGAATTGCTCCAAAAAATGTCTGTGGCTATTTGAATTGTAATTTCAAGGAACACCTACTAGTTTTAAAAATGATATATTTTTCATCAAGTTTCCATTTAAGGATAATTAATACTTATGAAAGGGGAAACCTCTTAACGAGGAATACATTTTCATTTTTATATCCACCCACTATTTTCTTTGAGGGGTACAAAGGGAGATGATTCTGTTTGTTTTCTTTTTTGTTCTCACTGTATTTTGTGGTTGTATATTTGTGCAAAAGCTGCAGTTTAATGTACAGCTTCCAAGAATATTTGCATTCAAAGCTTTCTTTTTGGAGGTGGGGGGGGGTGGAAATCCTGCTCAACTATTTCCCCAATTATCTTAAAATGTGTTACTAAGAGGTAAATTATATGTAAGGTTAAATCATCACTGAAAAAGTGCAGTTTTAAATTCACTTTACTGTGAATGAAAAAAGGCCATTGATGAGAGCAATTATTACATTTAAATTTCTTATTTTTCCTGGTCTGATCTTCCATCCCAGTGAGTTAGATGGATTGAATGAGTAGACAAAAATGGTAAATGAACAAGCAGACAAGGGGACTTTTCCCAGAGTGACTCTCCTTTTGCTCATTGGTTCTTGCTCAAGTATCCAGAAGGAGTAAACACTCCTTGTTTACTTTTGTTGTTGTTATTAGTTGCAAAGTCGTGTCTGACCCATCACGACCCCATGGACAAGATTTCTCCAGGCTTTCCTGTCTTCTACCATCCCCTGGAGTCCATTTAAGCTCACGCCTATTGCTTCAGTGACTCCATCGTCCCCTTCTTCTTTTGCCCTCAATCTTTCCCAGCATTAAGCTCTTCTCCAGTGAGTCCTTCCTTCTCATTAGGTGGCCAAAGTATTTGAGTTTCATCTTCAGGATCTAGCCTTCTAAAGAGCAGTCAGGGTTGATCTCTCTAGGACTGATCGGTTTGATCGCCTTGCAGTTCAAGGGACTGCAGGAGTCTTCTCCAGCACCATAGTTCAAAGGCCTCAATTCTTTGGTGCTCAACCTTTCTTATGGTCCAACTTTCACAGCCATACTGTCAGCGTCTCAGCGCTGACATAAAAAAGGGAGGATGAAGCTTGAACTTTTGCCTGCTAAATCCCTTTGAAGTTTCGATCTCCTTGGAGATGAGGGGGGGGGACATTCCTGTGAACTGACAGGAAAAGGAATCAGGAGAGTGACTTGGAAGATAGCCAATGAGAAGCAGAGAATTGGGGATCGGAAAGGGAGGGGTTGGGGGGGCAAAGGTCAGTACTGACCGCGCAGAGTCATGATCCGGTTGCTGTACTTGAATAAAGAGAAAATTTCCTTAAGGATTGGCAGTTTGGAAGTTCATTTATTTTGAGATAGCATCGAAGCCTGACACATACATTGCAACTGGGAAAACCATAGCCTTGACTATACGCACTTTTGTTGGCAGGGTGATGTCTCTGCTTTTTAGTATGCTGTCTAGATTTGCCATAGCTTTCCTCCCCAGGAACAAGCGTCTTTTAATTTCTTGGCTGCAGTCCCCATCTGTGGTGATTTTGGAGCCCAGGAAAATAAAATCGGTCACTACCTCCATTTCTTCCCCATCTATTTGCCAGGAATTGAGAGGGCCAGATGCCATGATCTTAGTTTTCTTAATGTTATTGAGTTTCAAGCCAACTTTTGCACTCTCCTTCACCCGCATCAAGAGGCTCTTTAGTTCCTCTTCACTTTCTGCCATTAAAGTGGTATCATCTGCATATCTGAGGTTGTTAATATTTCTCCCGGCAATCTTAAATCTTAATTCCAACTTTTGATTCATCTATCCCCGCCTTTACTAGTGGGCCCAATATTTCTTCAAGCAGGGAGCATAGGGGAAATGGAAGAATAGGAAGTGTATCTTTCTCTGAACTATTTTCTATGCTGCTTCATCTACAGAGAAATGGCCAACAAGGAAATGGATTTTATCACTAAATAGCACAATGGATCAAGGGGTGCCAAGACTGTTCAGCAAAAAAACTCTCATGCCAAAGGGTTATATGTGTCTTGTCTTACATGTATATCCACAAGAAGCAAAACTTAGAAAGAGCTGGGAGTTTCACAGCTGTGGCAATTTCTTCCTCCTTGCTCCTTTCCAGCCTTTGGTGAATAGTAAAGGAAAGAATTTGCTCTTTGCTTCTTCCTCTGAAATCTTCTCACCCAAGTGTACATTTCTCCTTCAAAAGAAGACTGATGATAGGTTTAAAACTACCTTTTTGAAATGTCTCTAGTACATAAAGTCACTTCAGTTTCAGCCAGAAAGAAACAGGAAAGACAGAGCCTTATTTTATCCCAGAAGATAATGCCTGTTTATATTTTATAATAGGAGGTCACGTATGAATTCCAGGTAATCAAAGGACATTCTCTCTGAATGGAAAGAACTGGTTTTGCCACCTCTATTGCCTTCATAGTGAAACACAGAAATAAAAAATGTTTCAGTCACAAAAAATATTTCCTAATCTGAAAAGCTATTATTGTATATGCCATTCATTTAATGAGCCTTTATGATGTATGTATGCACATTTCCATAAAATCTAAACAGAATTTTCGTCACATCACAAATTTATCTCTGAAGGATCCTAACACAAAATCTGCTTAATGTATTCTTCTGAAACTTAAGAATGACACTTTTTCTCTTTCATTTTTCTTAGTTTCTTTTAATTGGTTCTAATGGAACAGGAAAATAGGTGGCATATTCTCTCTGCCTAAGCCCAATTTGCAAGTATCTCCAGAGGACAGTTCCCAGTCTTCTTCTTAACTTCTTCTTTTACCACTTCAGGTGTTGAGGGCGATTCAAAGTTCTGGTTCTTGCTCTTTTGGAAACCTCAACCATTGTTATTTGATGCTGTGGTAGTCTGTTTCTGATGTTGTTTGTCCATCTTCTTCTGAGTCTATCTCATGTTCTTTGGCCTTCTCTTTTTGTATATGCCTTGTATGACTGCACCCCATTGTATAACACCAACGCAATTATTACATTTGCAGATGACACAACAATGGTGGGACTCATTAATAAGAACAATGAGTCTGCTTATAGAAAGGAAGTACAAGGGCTGACATTGTGGTGTAAAGAAAATAATCTTACACTTAACACCAAAAAAACTAAAGAACTTATACTTGACTTTAGGAGGAAGAGAGATGTACATTTACCATTATACATAAATGGTGGTGAGGTGGAGAGGGTTGTTAGTTTTACATTTCTGGGCATTTATATCTCGAAGGACCTCTCATGGACTATGAATGTTCATGAGAACATGCTTGTGAAGAAGGCACAGAAGAGGCTGTACTTCCTGAGAATGCTCTCAGCATCTACTTCTGTCCTACCATCGCAGCACCATTGAGAGTGTCCTGACATATGGCATTCTTGCATGGTATGGGAGCAGCTCTGTAGTGGACAAAAAAGCTCTACAGAGAATCATTAAAACTGCCCAGAATATCATCGGGCTCCAGCTACCAGCCCTGGATGACATCTTCGAATCTTGCTGTTTGAGGAAGTTGCATAACATTGTCAGAGACTCTTCCCCTCCTGCTTACAATCTTTTTGGACTGTTGCCTTCCAGCAGAAGATACAGAACAATTAAAACTCGGATCACACATTTTCTGAATAGTTTTTATCCCAGAGCTATAATTGCACTCAACAATGAACTAAAGGGCCACCATCAGTGAGCTGTTGAACAGCATTACTTGGTCTGTTGTGTGGATGTTTCGGTGGTTTAGGGGTGGGGAATTTGTGGTGGGTGGGAGTGTGTTTGGGGATTGTTATGTGTGTTGGACCTAGTCTTTGGGTGTTAAGTGAATTTCGTTGCATGGGTATACTGTGTATACACGTATAATAACAATAAAGCTGTTGTTGTTGTTGTTGTTGTTGTTGTTGTTGTTGTTGTTGTTATTATTATTATTATTATTATTATTATTATTATGAGTCCCAAGACATGCTCTCCAGCTTTTTATTTGCTGTTTTTCTAGGTAGTTTAAGATTGATTCTATGCCAATTCTTTCTCTTATGATCTCATTTCTGATTTTATCTTTTCTGGTTACTTCAGCAGCTTTCCTCAAACATCTCATTTCCATGGTGACTAATTTTTATTTATCTATTCCCAATGACTTTTACAATAATCTCCCAGGAATCAAAGGATTGTACCCTTAATGACTTTACAAGGTGGGCCGGTTTATTTAGTTAATTATCAATAGTTGGACAGAAAACATTAGCAGATACTTACCTGTGAACAAGAGTGTTTTTCAGGCCACGGCTGAGGTGCCGTGCAACAGTTTTGACTCTTGGTGTGAGAATAGCTTGGGAAACATGGAAAGTTCCATGTTTTGCTCGCTCATTCAGGGTGGTCTCCAAGAACTGCAGTAGTTTATGTACATTAGTTGTGTTTGCCCAGGGAGCTGGCATTTTATTCCCTGCCCATAGGACGGGGTATGTTTCACATATAGAATGATGATAGAAAACAAGAACCTGGAAAAATGGAGGTAAAAATAAGGCAACCGAAATCTCTGCCTGGATTAAATTCATTTATATTCATATCACTCTCTAACAATGGGCAAAGAATACAACAGTATGGAAAACATTATTGTCTGCGAGGCAGCACGGAGATATGAAAAGTAAAATCTGGCCAATATCACGTCAAGTGTTACTAGATAAACTCATAACTTGTTACTACCAGTATCATCTAACAAACCTTCCAAAATTGTGGAAACAATTTGAAGGGCTTTCAACATTTAATAAAACTTGCTATATAATCCTATTATATTTGCAACAACGAAGGTGATACTGAATTGGACTGCATGAGTTGCCACTCCATTTCATTTTAGTCCTGGAATAATCAGTCAGCACTATCTGCCTTCAAATACTTAAATTAGTGTCATCACAGATTAAGAGAATTGTTGCCATTATATTTTACCAACCCTCCTTTTGAATCCACAAGGGGAAAAACAATAACATCTCCTATGCCATACTGCATTGTGAGAGCTTTATTTATAGGTTTCCCTCATTTGGATATCCTTTTCTTTTTTCTCTGGAACATAAAGGCAGTCCCACAACAAATGGCTGAGTTACTGTTGAATTATCACCTATAAATGTTTGGTTATGATTATGAATTAATGTATCACATTCATTTGGAAGCAAGTCCCTCAACATTCTAACTTTTGAGGTTTGCCAGATTCACCATCTTGCTCTTTTTATTTTTGTCTAAATCTGGTTCTGATGAATGTTTTTATAATATTGGTTTTATTTGTGTTGTGGGTTGCTCAAAGTCATTTGTAGTTAAACAACATAAAACTGAATAAATAAACTTCTATTGCTAGCATCTATATTCAAATACTGCCACCTGGTGGACAGCTTTGGCACATGCTGCTGTTTGATTTATTTGTGAGCGAGCTGAACAAAGCTATTCACATAGCTAAAGTTGAAAAAGAAATGGCATAGATGACCGAGTCTCAGTGGTGGGTTGCCCCGGTTCGCACCAGTTCTATAGGACCAGTAATAAAACTGGCAGGAGGCTCCGCCCACCGACCCTGACATCATCATAACGCTTTTGCGCATGTGCAGAAGAACACGCACGCGAGTGAGTAAAGCGAGCACGCGCGGCCCTGTTGGGAACCAGTAGTAAAGGTAAGTAGAACCCACCCTGCCGAGGAGATCCCTATTTCTTCAGAATACGTTAATTTTGGAGGAAGAATAAGGATAGCTGCCTTGCAGAACTGAAATAATTGGAAAAGTTCAAACTTTGATAATCCAGGAGGAACAGAAAGTGTGACAAAATTGGGAAAGGCAGATAGTTCACGGGAAAGACAATAATATTGTGGTAATGTAGCTTTTATGAAACATGGAAAAAACAGAATTGAAAATAGATCAAATTAAATGGGACAGAACTGATTGTAGGGGTAGATAGGCAATTATTAAAAGGAGGTCTGTGTTTAGCTAGAATGTACAGAATCAGGAGGCTGGCCTTGAGGGAAATAGGCACAAATTATTATATAAATAGAGGGCATTCTTTAAGGCCTGGGAAACATGACAGTGTGCAGAAGAGACTCAAGCAAGCTCTTCCTTGGTTTTCACTGGGATTTTAGGGATGGGAGGGGGCAGAGCATAATCAAGCTTGTACGATTTTGTTATTATAGCCTATTTCAATAACGTGAACCTCTTTCAGCACAGGTAGTTCTCAATTTACAACAGTTCATTTAGTGATTGTTCAAAGTTACAATGGCACAAAAATGGTCACTTATGATTAAAAAAATCCTGTACCTGCTGTTGCTTTTCCCAAAGACTTTGCAGTGTTACATTTTCTACGCATTCTTTTGTGCAGAGTTTTGATCCAAGTATTTCTTCAATCTTGCTGATAAGGTACATGTGATGATTCATATCCATGGCATAGAAATGATTGAAATCCAGAAAAATTACTTCTTTAGGATGATGGGTTAAGAAGTTATCTATCTCCATAAGTCCATCACATACTGTGGTTCCAAACAAGCCATGTATAAAGTAGATTTCCTGTCCTGCTTCACCTGGTTTGGAAGATACACGGAGGTCAAAATAGCGTATTCCACTGTCAAGCTGCTCCTTGAATGTCAGATTTTGTGTTACTGACCATTTCTTCATTAGCTTTTTTACCAAAGGAATTTTAGCTATTCGCCGAATTGCTATGGCTTGATCTGGTCCCACAGGAGATTTCTCATCCACCCAGTAGCTGAAGGAGTCATGTGAACCTATATGGGGAAAAAAGGCAATATGTTATTCTTGCAAATAAAAAAGGACTCCGTTATAGCAATAGCACTTAGACTTACATACCGCTTTATAGCCCTCTCTAAGTGGTTTACAGAGTCAGCCTATTGCCTCCAACAATTTGGGTCCTCATTTTACCCACCTTGGAAGGATGGAAGGCTGAGTCAACCTTGAGCCTGGTGGGATTTGAACTGCCAAATTGCAGCAGCCAGCAGTCAGCACAAGTAGCCTAGTACTGCACTCTGCCACTGAGGCTCTAACCACTGCACCACCGAGGCACTGTTCAACTAAATTACATACATACATACATACATACATACATACATACATACATACATAATCTGTTCTTGTCCAGTGCATGCTTAATTTCTGGCAAAATATTGGAGATCACCTTACTCTGCCAGGATCAAATAAAGAAAACCTAACATAAATCTGGCTCAAAATATACCAAACAGAATCATGTTGCACTCCTGTGCATTTGGAGACTGAATTTAAATCACTGAACTGGCTTATTATATATCTTGAATCTGCCTGGATACTAACCTCTGAACAAGTCGGATATTTGAAGAATACCAGCAGTAATCATTACATATCTACATTCACACACACACACACACACACACACACACACTATTTTAAAAATCCTTGCCTTTCCAAATGGGATCCCTAATTTTATATTATTCCAGTGTGAGGTGACAATAAGATGGAACAAATATCAGAGCAAAGAGGCCAAACAATGGAATATACTGATATTTTCATTATACAAATGGACAATGCATGGATAGTTCATAAATACTACATATGCATAATGCATATATGTTAAAAATATGTGCAAATGTATATATACTAATGCATACATGTTAAAAATAAAATAGAATTTTATTACTAGATATAATGATTCCATCCAATCTTAGTGTAAATCAAATTTCAGATGTACTTAAAAATGATCTCCTAAGAGATCAATGTGCGCTGGACCTGAACTGGGGTGACGGCTCGTGTGCCCACAGAGAGGGGTATACAAAAGAAACTAACAGAAATGCAATTTTATAGACTTGAGTTCATTTGGCTAGTAGGGCAAACCTTTAAATCCTAGCAATTACATAATTATGGTTTAATTCATTTAAAATAATGCAAAAAATATAATTAAATATCGAAGATACCAAGTGTATCAAAGGGAGATAATTAATTTGAAATTTTCTACTTCAATAATTGATCACGTCTGTGCAAAACAATAAAACAAAACAAAACTGGATGAAGACAGACCTGTGCTGGAAGATTATTGGGTAGCATATACATTTAAATAATAATAATGCTTGGGAAGGATTTAATAGATGGCTAAATATGCCAAATCCAATCTAAATATCTGTGGACTGTGCAGCCACCTGGCTGAAGGACAATTCGCATAGATTCTGCCTCACTAACCTTTGGGAGTTTTTAAATATTTCTACAGGCATGTGAATGGGAGCAATTTTATATCAATACCATTTACCAGGATTTTCAAAAAGCATTTGACAACATTGCTCCTCAAAAGTTCTTGAGATAAAAGGATCAGTTATAAGAGGATGGTTCTTTAATGGGCTGCTAACAGCTAAAATGAGAAAGCGAAATGAGAAAATGAATAAATGGGCAATTTTCTCAACGGAAAGAAGCAAGAACTGAAGTCTGTCAAGGAACTGTGTTGATGTCGGATGTTCTCTAAACATGTACATAAAATTAAACAAACGACCCAATTTCTAAGCTATGGAAGCAGCTTACTGGTATCTTTTGAAAAAAAATTAACAGATTTAAGAAGCCTTACAATATTTATTTCAGTAAAGTGTGTAGTAGAAGAAGTTTTTTTATAGCATGATCCATATTCAAAAACGGGCTGTTTCAAATATTTTGTGTGGAGGGTATTTTGAGCACAAGGTTGAGTATTTAAAACTTCAAACAACTCTCTGACCCCAGAACACTATCAGGATGACTGAAACTGCCTATTTGGAATGTGACAGGAATGTTTCATACTTTAAAAAAATACGTTTTGAAGATGAAATGGCACTGCACACACAAAATAATTCTAATATGAAATATTCTGCATGCAACTAAAGTAAAGGTAAAGGTTCCCCTCGCATATTATGTGCTAGTCGCTCCAGACACTAGGGGGCGGTGCTCAACTCCGTTTCAAAGCCAAAGCCAGCACTGTCCGAAGACGTCTCCGTGATCATGTGTCTGGCATAACTAAATGCCAAAGGTGCACGGAACGCTGTTACCTTCCCACCAAAGGTGGTCCCTATTTTTTCTACTTGCATCTTTTACATGCTTTCAAACTGCTAGATTGGCAGAAGCAGGGACAAGTAATGGGAACTCACCCCGTTATGCGGCACTAGGGATTCGCACCGCTTAACTGCCGACCTTTCGATTGACAAGCTCAGCGTTTTAGCTACTGAGCCACAGTGTCCCTTGCATGCAACTAGGTAGGGCCATTGGTGGCATACCAGGTCCCCTTGTGTAGAAATCCACTAACTGCTCAGCTATTTTTTAGTATTTAAAATATTGTATCTCTTTCTCACACAGTCTCTTTCCATATGACTGTGCCATGCAGTTTGTGAGTATTTTTTTTTTAATTTGCAAGTGATGCCCTGCTTCATGTGGCAATCTTATGCAGTGCACAATTTGCACACCAGGTGGCCCTTCCATGGGTGTATAACTCTCAACTCTATCCTAGTTATGACAAAAGTAACATTTTAAAAACGTGCTTAAGAAAAGTACACATTTCCTTGGAAACTGAAATTCATGGGACCTCTAACATATTTTACAAGTATCAAAGCACAATATTTCACAATTAATCCGTCAATCAAACCAAAAATACTCACAAAATGGTAATACTAAAATAAATATAGCATCACCTTTCTCTTTTCCTTACCTTCAGTTTGTTATTGATATTCTGTAATTTGGGGTACTGGAGAAGCCAATTGTCACAATATTTCAACTTTTTCATTCTAAAAACATTGCTCAAAAATATATCTATGAGCAAGCAAATAATACGTAACTGTCAAATAGCAAGCCATTAATGGTTGATAGATATCTTCCACGTGTACCGTGATTCATTCTTAACATTCATAGAAATTAACATGCAGCTTAGTCACATTCAATTATATAAGAACATTATGTGCTAACATATTTTCATATTACATCATAGGTGAGGTAAATTATAGCACATGAAGTAAATTATAATGTACTCAAAACAGAAATAAATCTTGCTGATGTAATGTTAAGAGTTCATAGTGTGCAGTATTTCTTAAACACATATAGAATTACACACACACACACATGTGTGTGTGTGTGTGTGAGATTAGTATAGTACCTTTACTAGAAGAAAAGTAAAAAGAGATAAAAATAGTAGATACCATCAGCCTTCCTTTAGAACAGGAAGAACAACCAATAAGAAGTTTTGTTCCTAAATAAAGGAATAAAAGGTACATAGAGAATTTGGGGTAGGAAGAAATGTATTGTACTTGTACTTATACTCTATGTATACTTTTTACTGTTGGATTTATTAATAAATTAGATTTTTTTAAAAAGAGGTACTGCTTATTAGAAATATTATTTACCAGCAGTGGACATATTCATACCATTGGCTTATTTTGAATCTTTTAAATTATAAAAATTTAAAAATGTTGTTTGATATTTGAGATATTGTAAACAGACAAATCATTGTTTTAAAAACTAAGTTATTTACCAATAACTTTTAAAACAGATTCTAGTGTCCTATTGTAGGAAGTTAACACCCACCCCTTTCCTAGAGGAATGAAATATTTTAGGAAATATTAAAAAGGCAGAATATTATGTTTCCCTGGATGAGAAATGGAGAAGCATGTTTTAAAGACGAAGCAGCTCTCATCTTCCTGTCCCACCCTTTGTCAATGGGCCAGAGGCAGAAACTCAATCTTTGTCAATGGACCATCATCTGCAACACAATAGGACCCATCTAGCAACAGAAACTAACACAATAGGACTCATCTAGCAACAGACACATGGCACCTGGGAAGATTACATCAGCCAGCAAGGCTAGCTAAGACCCCTTCCCCCTGGGAGTCTGACAACCAATCAGGATACTCTTTCTGGGCCCCAGGAAGTTGAAAGCCAGAGAGAACATAAAACCCGGGGACTCACTGCGTCTCGCCCCTTTTCTGTTCAGGAACTCAAACCATGTGATCCTATCCACCATCAAACCATCTTTCCAAGCCGTCTCCATGTTTCCAGTGTCTTTTTCCCCACTTGGAGCTGAACCCAGAAGGATATTTCTTCCTACACTATCAATTTCATCCCTTTGATGGCTTGAACATTGAGAATGTAAGTGCTATGATACCTTGTCCTATTAAAACGCATTAGGGTTGGTGTCAAGTACTTAAATACTCTTCTTGCTCTTGTGTTATTAAATTTAAGTAGATGCTTATAGGAATGAAACAGAAGGGTGCATTCTAATTGGCTTATTCTATATTCAGTCTCTTAATGCTCATTTCATCTGCTACATCCATGTGCAGCTTTCCCTACCAACAATCTGAATGACTTTACAGCTACATGAAGTAGACCGATAAAATCCTTGTAATCTGTGATAAAGATAAATATTCTTTCTTACAATTCTGCAAGAAAAGTAAAAGAAAATTCTGCAGAAAAAGTAGTTTTACATTTTATTTCAAATGAGGCGGCTTTGGGAGAAAAAAGTAACAACTTAAATCTGGAAAAATTGATATGTGAATTTTAAATAAAGATTTTTAAAAATTATTTTGTCTCTCTCTCTATTATCTATAATGTAGATTTTATATAGTAACAATGCAAATTACTTTTAACATGATACACTCTCTAGCCCCATTCGTTTGTCAATAATATTTGAAATGAGATTTTTGAGCAAACATTTGGCAAAGCAGTTGTATTAGCTACTGTTATGACTCATTAGCCCATTTCTTCATTTACATCTTCAGCACCAAGATGAAACAGCAGGTTGTGCGTTATTCCCTTTGTTAATTGCAAATAAAACACAAATCAAAGATCACCATGTGCCAGCTATGGATTTTCCAGTTGTTTAAGGTGACTAGACTTAAAGGAGAACAAATGATTCATCTAATCTGGTATTCTGAGATTAGTTGAAGTCAACTATGGTTATTGCTAAGTAAAGGTCAATTCTCCTAATGAGCTTACATTTGTAATTACATGCTTTCAATCTAATATAATATGGGAATGTTGTTTGAGCTCAGCTAATGAACAGCTTTTATGAAAAAGATACAAGTATACTTTATCATGAATAAACATGAATACTCACGATAAAGAATACTTTATCATGAGTAAACATATTCCTTCATAGCACTATTAAGCCACATCTATTTATTTTAATAAGTAGAAAAGGCATTCTCCCTATTTAATATCTTCTATATATAACTGAATATTTAGATATAGTAATACTTGATTTAACAGATTCCCAATTAACAGACTTTGGAAGCAATGGACAAAAGTTTTGTCCAAACGGGCCTCTGAAATAACAGATAACTCTTTCTTGTTGTTTTTTGGGATATATAAAAGAAGCAAACCAATAAATAAATCTATTATTTGTATGCCACTTGGGAAATGAAGGTTCATTGTCCCAAGTAGATATTTGTTCCAGGCCTGCAATTTGGGGGGGGGGGGGGAGAAGGATGATCCTTTAACTACTTTATAACTTTGAGAAAAATAAATTAAATGTATCCTTCATTGATTTTTCAAGAAGACCTCTTTGTTTATATTTCGCCTTTATTATTTTTATCAATAACTCAGAACAGCAAACATATCCAACACATTTTCCTCTTCCTATTTTCAAGACAACAACAACCCTGTGAACTGAGTTGGACTGAGAGTGTGTGACCAGCCCAAGGTCACCCAAATGACTTTCATGGCTAAGGTGGAAGTCATGGTCTCCAGTTTTCTAGCCTGGTGCTTTAACAAATAGACAAAAGTGGCTCTAATTTAAACCATATATGTGCAAATTTCCTTTTGTCCAAATTTAGACTTAAGGTTAGTCTGGCTGTAGCCGAATTTCTAAGCTGCTGCATTTATATGCAGGAAGAAACTATTTCCTGAATGATTTTGCTTTCTATGACATGTCAACATGTGTCTCATTTTCTTTCTTAGCTATTATGGTTCTCTTGGGTCCTTTGACTGTAATAAACTTTTCATTCATTCATTCATCAATGAAATGTATCAAATTCTTATTCTGGGATAAAGCTTCTCAGCCCCCACCCAAACACACACTGTATTCTGTAAATCTTAGACTATTATATAAAACATGTATTCTGATTTTGTGAAGGAAGGAAACATTTACAAAACGTTTTATACTCCATTTTAAAGAAGATACTCATTTAGTAGATACAAATCAATAATGACATTTCATTTTCCAGTTAATTTTTTTTTCTTAAGTGCAAGATAATAACTAGGTCTTTAATCTGCCCAACCCCACATTCTAGATCTCATTTAGATCAATGGTACCTGCCTTCACATAATTATCATAATCACACACACACACACCCCAGATACGTTTAAATTACAACTTTCAAAACTCCTTGGTTTCCTGGTTCTTTAAAACTCAATTGGCCTTTTTCCTCAATCTGTTGTCCTGGGGGAATAACCTGGGGGAAACCTGGCTTAATAGCAGTGACTGTGAGTGGGATCTTGGAGTCTTAGTGGACAACCAGCTAAATATGAATCAGCAGTGTGCAGCGGCAGCTAAAAAAGCCAATGCAATCCTAAACTGCATTAACAGAGGAATATAATCAAGATCAAGTGAGGTACTAATACCACTCTATAAAGCCCTAGTAAGACCACACTTAGAGTACTGCATCCAGTTTTGATCACCACACTATAAAAAATATGTTGAGACTCTAGAAAAAGTGCAGAGGAGAGCAACCAGGTTGATTAGGGGACTGGAGGCTAAAACATACGAAGAACAGTTGCAGGAACTGGGCATGGCTCATTTAGTGAAGAGAAGAACTAGGGGAGACATGATAGCAGTGTTTCAATATTTGAGGGGCTGCCACAGAGAGGAAGGGGTCAAGCTGTTTTCCAAGCACCTGAAGGCCAGACAAGGAATAATGGATGGGAACAGACCAAGGAGAGATTCAACCTAGAAATGAGGAGGAACTTTCTGACAGTGAGAACAATCAACCAATGGAACAGAAGTTGTCTTTGGAAGCTGTGGGAGCTTCATCACTTGAGACTTTCAAGAAAAGATTGGACTGCCATTTATCAGAAATGGTGCAGGGTCTCCTGCTTGAGCGGGGAGTGGAGGTTGGACTAGATGACCTATAAGGTCCCTTCCAACTCTGTTAATCTGTTAAATCTGTCCTCCAGATGTAACAAACTCCAATTCCTACAGGCCTTGCCCATCGCGGGTCTCGCAGGCCAGCACATCTGGAGGGGATTCTCCAGAGCAGGGGTGGGCAATTGTGGCTTTTACAACCTGTGGACTTCAACTCCCAGAATTCCTGAGACAGCCAAGCTGTCTCAGGAATTCTGGGAGTTGAAGTCCACAGGTTGTAAAAGAGCCACAATTGCCCACCTCTGCTTCAGAAGAAAGTGCCCTTTTTCTATTTTTTTTTTTATTTTTTTTTGCCAAGCACGTTTCATATTTCTGGGATGCAGGCTGAACCCCGCCAGGTGTGCAACCTCCCTCAAAAGAAGGATAGACGCAAAGGCAGGCAAAGTCGGTTCGGTCGTCGGTTACCTGGGATGGCCAGCGTAGAAAGCGGCAGGGCGCTGAGGACGGGCGGCAAGGAGCCCATCCAGTCTGCGTTGCTGCGTTGGGTTGCCATTCCTCGCCTTCAGCTCCGGCTTCGGGAACGCTGATGCGCCGAGCGGCTGCTTCTCCCGTCCACGGCGGTTCGCGCTCCTAGCTGCAGCGCGTTGGAGTAAGCGCCGGCAGAGGCTCCTCTTCTGTCATCCTCCGGGAAACTTGCCAAACCGAGAGAGCGACTGCCGCGCCCTCGCTCTGCCTGGGACGCCGCGCCTGGCCGGCGCTTAAAGTCCCCTGCATCCCTGTGGCGAAGGCAAAGGAGGCTGATGAGGACACCGACCTCGCTCCGCGGGCGGCGGGCGGCGGGAAAAGCTGCCAAGTCGGGGGGACTGCCCCCCCCCCCCCCCCCCCCCCCCCCTGGCTTTCATGAAACGGCCCCTAGTCCTGGCGCGCCTCTCCAAACCTGGGCGCCGGGATTGATCTACAGCGCCACCATCCGGCCGTCCAGCCGTGGCGTCACTGCTTTCGTGACAGCCGTGGCGGGCGGCGATTTGGCCTGACGGGACTTGCTGAGCCGGCTGAGCTCTTACGCGTCGCCTTGTTTCTTCCGGAAATTCTGACTTTTGGTTTTGAAGGCGGCGAATCGTCCCAAAAAATAATAACACAGCCGTCGTGGTCCATTAATTATAGGTGCCTGACCTAAACACGATTGTTGATTGGTTCATCGGACTATAATTTTCTAAAAACAACCACCCATCAAAATCAAAATCGCCAAATCCGTATATGGGAACCAAGTCTACACTGGCATTGTTTGATACCACCAAACCCCACCCCAATCCCTCCAAAGCAGGTTGGCCCGCGATCGTAACTCTGTTTTAGCCTTAAAATCCTGGAGCTGCAGAGAATGAGAGAAAGCAGTCTTTGCTCACCCCAGCTGACCCGAGAGGAGTTCAAATAAGCCGCAGCATTGACTTCTGGGGATTTCTACCCAACCTTCTCAAATCTAGGTCATCCTTGGGGAAGGAAGACAGAAGGAAACTGGACTAGAAGGAAGGGATGCTCTGGAGAGATGTTTTTCTGTAATGTTTTTCTTTTCCCACAGCCCCAACCAGATCGGATCTTTTTTTCAAACTCAAACTTTCTTTTGCTACCAGTAGTTTCTCTCGTCCTACTAAAGGTAGTCCCATTCTATTCAGTTTTCCTGATAATGCACAGATAAGAGTCCACAGCTCCCTCCAACATTCTGTCTGGCTAGGGAGGGAAAAGCATTTAGTCAAACTCCTGGAACTAGGAAACATTGTCTGGCCAACAAGTGGCACAAAGCAGAAATAAAATGGATTTTATTTCCACCCTGTGGTTGGCGTTCATACTGCACGCTTTTGACCACCAGCCAAATATCTGAGTGATTGCTAAACTGCTGAGCTTTGCTGTTGTCAGGTGATCTATCTTCTGCAGCATTCCACCGCCCAGGAGAACTATAACCTAGAATGGAGAGCAGCCCAGCAATCAGGTCCTTTCCTCAGTATAGTTCAAATTATAGATCTGTGTTCTGGTGGTGATTTTCAAAGCTGGCAACTTTAAGATGGATGGACTTCGATTCCCAGAATTCCCCAGCCATTCTGATAGTTGAAGTCCACCTGTCAAAGTTGCCAAGTTTGAAAAACACGACTGTTAAATTTTAAACAAGATGGTGGATGTTGGGGGAGATTGTCTTCAATCTATTCTCTGAAAAGCAAGGGGATGAGCTAGGATTTCCTGCTAGTTGTAGAAAAAAAAATATCCACCAGAGCTCTAATGTTAAACAAAAAGAAATAATTTTTCCTCTTAATATAAACTATAGTGGAATCAGGAAAAAAAAAAAAACATTTAAGCGTTTCAAATAAGTTAACATTATACAAGTAACCAAATCTAGAGCTAGTTCCAGAGCAAAGCAAAACTTTTTATGTGAAGATGCTGTTAATTATATTTTCTTTAAATAACAATGTATATATTCTTTACAAAGACAAAAATCTAGAAATTGCACTCCAAATATTCATATATATAATATTTAATGAAACTGGCTTTAATCTACAAAAGCTTATGCCACAAGAAAAGTGTCATAGAATTATTTCTACACATGTTCATTCCTACATTATTAAAAAGTTCTCTTGGAATCCTAGAGGGTTGTTTTAAGTGTTCTTATTCCGGCAACATCTTGGACTGGTGATATAGAATAATTTCTGTTAAAAAAAATACAAGACCCGGAGATCTGATATCCTTCGTATTGTTGGAAGAAATCTTCTTCTAGGTTCTGCTCCAAGTGGGGAAAAAGACATTGGAAACATGGAGACTGCTTGGAAAGATGGTTTAATGGTGGACAGGATCACACGGCTTGAGTTCCTGAACAGAAAAAGGGGCAGATACAGTAAATCCTCGTGTTTTTATGCTCTCTCTGGCTCTGCATTTCTTGGGGCCCCAAAAGAGTATCCTGATTGGTTGTCAGACTCCCAGGGGGTGGGGGTCTTAGCTAGCCTTGCTGGCTGATGGTAACATGTGCTTCCCAGGTCACATGTGGTGAGTTTCTGCTGCTATTGTGTAGAGGGCTAATCCTATCTTTGTTGGATCTTTGGCAATTCCTACTATGGCTCTGCCTGAAGGAGGTAGATCTTTGTTATGTAGAATAGACTGGCCCAGGCCTTAATGGCCCATTGACAAAGGGTGGGGGCAGGAAGATGGGAGCTGCTTCAAACCATGCTTATCCATTTCTCATCCAAGGAAATATAATATTCTGCCTTTTTCATATTTCCTAAAATATTTCACTCTTCCAGGAAAGGGGTGGGTGCTAACTTCCTACAGTAACTCCAGGGGCAAATCGTTCCAGAGGGCAGGAGCTGCCACAGAGAAGGCCCTCCCCCTGGGGGTCGATAGCCGACATTGCCTGGCTGACGGCACCCTGAGGAGTCCCTCTCTGTGGGAGCGTACTGGTCGGTGGGAGGCTATCGGCAGCAGAAGGCGGTCCCGCAAATACCCAGGTCCTATGCCATGGAGCGCTTTAAAGGTGGTAACCAACACCTTGAAGCGCACCCAGAAGACCACTGGAAGCCAATGCAGCTCACGCAGGAGAGATGTCACATGGGAGCGCCCCCTCGCTCCCATAATCCCCCGCACGGCCGCATTCTGCACCAGTTGGAGCCTCTGGGTGCTCCTCAAGGAGAGCCCCATGTAGAGAACATTGCAGTAGTGCAGTCCAGAGTGACGAGTGCCTGAGTGACTGTGCGTAAGGAGTCCCGATCCAGAAAGGGACGCAAGTTTTAATCGAAATTTAGTCACAGCTAAGGTTAGCCAAACTGGAGACTATAGTCTAGCTTTCTTTTGATCAAAGAAAGAAGGAAATTTAAAAAAAGGAGGGAGGGAAAGATATAGATTTGTGGGTGGTAAGTAGAATTTCTTTGAAGATTTAAAAACTGTCAAGATGTGATGATGAAGATGTGATCAGGAACCAACCTCTTGCTTAAATGCATTCTGATGTGAGCCCTAAAATATATTACGGTATATGAACTCAACCATTGTGGCTTTAACCATTTCTTAATGGTTTAGCATGTTGTGTGAACCAATTATTTTTCATTCAGCAAACCATGAACCACGACAGTGTTATGTATAATTCCACTCATTGTCTTGCCATTGTGATGAAGCTACATTATATTTATGGAAAGCATTCAGAAAATTCCACATTCTGAAATATCTAGAGAATTCTTTGGTGGCTTTATTTGACACTCATAACCTTTTTCATCATAGGATGTACCACATAGTTTCATAGCCACTTGCAAAAAAATCCTCTTGCACTTGCAACCTGATAATAGTTTAGTAATAGACAGACACAATGCTTTGGAAAAGAGCCCACTGTCTGTAGAACTAAAGGGTACATGTACTTTATCAAGCATCTGACAGATTTAGGTTTCATTCATTCTTGAATGACCACTATGTCTACTGTATGAAGCTGGATAGTTTTGAAGTGACTAGCAGTGATTCTGATTAAGTTTAATTCATATGACCGATTTTTATTCCAGCTATTGAAATCAACTTAAAATGGGCAAGGATATTTATGTTAGAGTTCTGCAGTCACTACTTGTATGAAACACTGTACTATGTGGACTGTGGCTGATGATAGCTACACTATTAGATTGAGCAAGCCAAGTGTGTGATTGATTCTGAATAACAGTGTTTTCAGTTAAACCTTTCAAAAAAAAAGCATATTGAGGAACAGTCTCTCTGTTTGTGGGAGAATGAGAACAAGTGAGTGAGCAAGATGTGGATCCACAAAGCCAGGTATGCAATAAATTATCAGCTGTTGTTCAGATGAAATCTCATCCCCCCCAGGCATCAAAAAGAGTCTCTTGTTCCTACTGCCAAGCTATTTAAGTTCCCCTGAGTCATTCTGATTTGATCTCACCCAGTTCCATGCAACTTCCTCCCGCTCTTCCAAGTGTCAGTGCATCAGTGGAATAAATTATTGCATTCTGATTTGTATGTGCACTCGTATTTATATAAGGAACTATGCCTCTACTAAAATGTATCATAAGGTTGTAATACATGTAGCTAGCACATGTCAGACGTAAAATGGATGGTATTATATTGCTATTTCAAAAGCTGAACAAAATTTACTACAGATAGTCCTCGACTTACGACAGTGACTGAAGTTACAATGGTGCTGAAAAAGTGACTTATGACCGTTTTTTCACACTTACAACATTGCAGCATCCCCATGATCACGTGATCAAAATTCAGATGCTTGGCAACTGGTTCATATTTGTGACAGTTGTGGCATCCCAGGGTCATGTGAGCCCCTTTTGTGACCTTCTCACAAGCAAAGTCAATGGGGAAACCAGATTCACTTAACAACCGTGTTCCTAATTTAACAACTGCAGTGATTCACTTAACAATTGCATCAAGAAAGGTTGTTACATGGGGCAAAACTCACTTAACAAATGTCTCACTTAACAACATAAATTTCAGGCTCAATTGTGGTTGTAAATCGAGGACTAGCTGTATTAGAATCTCATGTTGTTTAGCTAAACATACTCTGAAAGGAGGCCAATAGAATAATAATTATAAGCATGCAAATAATTTAAGTTCATGAGGACAAAGTCCTATTGATATTATCCACCAGACAGAATGGAGTCTAAACCATCCAGAGAATTCAGAATTAGCTGAATAACATTTATCTAACATAAGAGCCCACAAGTGTGCCTTTGCCTTATTTGAAAAGTGATTCAGTCGAATACATTCCCATGTATAGCATTACTTTGGGCAGGCAGCTATTACATATCCCATCACTTTCCTTCTTTCTATCGAAAGAATCAGGACTACGTGCTCATACAAAATAAACCATGCCATCCATATTTGAGATAGTACTGCATGTATCCAGTCTGTGTGA